CAACATTCTGATGGCCGGTCCCAAACTCCCCCTTTTTGACTTTTCCTCTCGGTGGCGCTCGAGCGGCTGCGATATCGACTTATCGAGACAATGGGCAAGCGCGCGCTGCTCGATATTGAAAGTAAAACTCCTGATCGGTACTTTCGATTCGATACGGTCCGGGCCATGGCAGCGCTGCCCTGCGCCCGAAGGGCCGCGTTGGGCGAGGGCAGGGCCAGGGCCTGCCTGCACAGTGGGCGCCCCCCGCCCCTTTTCTTTCCTGTCGGTGTAGTCGTTGCTGCACTCGTCCGGAATGCAATTAGCAGTTATTATTCTCATCCTCCTAATTGTATTTTTCGCATCTGACGGCCGGGCGAAGGACAGCGGCGACGGTGTGCGGGGAACAGGGCGCGGAGAATACAAACAGCTTCTGCCCAAAGCCTGCTTGCATCGCCTCCTGTTCCTAACACGATGAGTGAGTCTCACGTCGTGCCAAATAGAGTTCAAAGTCATTGAGAAGTTTTAAAAACTTTTCTCGAACCTTTTATTTATAAATTACGCCCGCGCAAAATCTACAGTGTTATATTGTTTAATTTTTTGTCCGCGAAACGTTCGCGTTTTGACGGGCACGACAGCTCGGAGTACGCAACTGCTCGCCGTCTAGCTGAGCCGCAGTGCTTGGCGACGGAGAAAAAAAAATCTTGTTTACGTTTGCTCAATGCTCAGTAGGGGTGCCAAAAATGTGCGGGAAATTGGTTATGAATATTTCACACCCCAGCCCGCCAGCGCCTCCTCCCGCCCGCCGCCGCCCTAAACACGACAACATGACTCCCTCCCCCCCTACCTCTCCCGCCACCTCGGTCTCGGTAGCGTCCTCGCCTCCCCCCCTCCGTCCCTCGCGGAAGGTGGCAGACCGGGCGAAGGCGTCGGGTGCATCCCGCCTGCATTTTGGCAGCGCGGGGTCGGGGTGGCGTGGCGCAGCGTGGCTCGAGGCCTTGGCGGCGGTGGCTGTCGCGACTGCAGTTTAGCCGTACCGGGCCGATCAGATCCCTCCCTGCTTCTTCCCTCAAGGCCTCTCTCTCCGCCCCCTCCCCCCCTCCGTTCCCGCCCTCTCTCTGTCTCTCTCAGACACACACGGTTGCATGGCCCGCCAGGCCACACACACACGAAGCAAAAACGAAATAAAAATGCTTGCAATCCTCCTCCTTCTCCCGGCCGGTGCAGCGAGTGCGGCGGCTGGACAGGCAGGGCGATGCACCGGCTGGCTGTTGTGAAACTGGCCCGACCCGCATCACAATACGCAGAGCCGTTGTTGTACGATTATTTGGCGGTGACGATGCTGCTGTGGCCTCAGCCCGCCCCGCCCTGCCCCGCCCTGCCCCGCCCCGCCCCGGCCGGCGGGGTTGAGCTGAGCCCTTTGCTCGCTGCTCGTCTCGTCGGATCGAATTGGCGCTGCACGTGACTGCCGCTCCGTCCAGTGCGGCCGGGTCGGCCCGGTCGGCTGGACGGTCGGTCGGTGCCCTGGTACCATCGGCCGGCCGGTCGGTTGGGGGGCCTAGGGGCACTGCTGCGTCTCGCCCCGCCCCGCCCCGCCAGCCCTCCCTGCCCTACCCCTCTCGGTCCAGCACGCCAAAGCTTGCGTCCAGGGGCGGTGCGTCGCAGGACCCTCGAGGCCTGGCCGTGCCTCAGCCAGTGAGCCCCTCCCTCCCCTCTCCTTCTCTCCCGCTGGTACCAAGCCGACATGCTAAGCCAAATGAATTGGCAGCCGACTAGCCCGATGCTGTTATCTCCCGAGCATCCCAAGTTCTCCTCCGCGTACCACCACCGCTGCTTGATACGCACGCCATGCCAATGAGCGCATATTCCCTTCCTTCACACCCAGAAAAACGTGATTTCGCTTGAACATTTGCTATAGGGCAATTCCATTTGCATTCGGACAAGTCAATTTTTACGGCTTAGCCGTAATCCTATACTTCATTCGAGAACACGCTCTTTTGGGCGCAGTATGTGCCAATAATATTGATTTCTGGTCCCCAATTATTTGGATGTGTGAGAAAATTGCGAATGTGTTATTCTAGGATGTTTTTTGTTCCGTCTGCGCGTCGTTGCTTGGGGAAGGCAGCCCGTCCGGGAGGTACTAAGTGCAGTGCAGTAACCGGTTTGGGCGGGCCGTCACGGGCGGTGCTCCCGGGGCGGGGGGCCGCTGCCTGACCTACGGCACGCCAAAAAGGCAGGACGAGGCAGCCAGCGGGCTCGCCAAGTGTGCCGGACCGTGACGGTCAGTGGGATGGAAAAGAATGAGTGCTTGGCTTCAGACATTTGTTTATTTAAAAATTGATACTTGTAAATTAAACTTAAAAGAACGTACAAATAGAAACCTTTATGTAAAGGTGCCTCAAGGAACAGGGTTTTCAAAGCGTGACCAGGGTATCGTTTTTTTTTCCGCACCCTCAAATCGGACAACTCACGATTGCCTTGCAATTATCTGCTTCTGTCAGTGTGAAAACATAACAAGACCGATGCAAAGGCGCCACATTGCACGTGGCTAAAACATAAACAAATAAAAACATAACTTCATTTTCAAGAAATTCATCCAAGTATATAATTTCTATTAAAAATAAACAAAACATTAAACGATAAACGAGATAAACATGTACGTAGTCTTAGACTTAGTCTGTAAAAATGAACACAAAAAGTTTGATTGTTAGTCTGTGGTACTCATTAAAAAATAAAAAGTAAAACAAAGCTAAAATTATTACGGACTATATTGTTATTGTATTTCTAAAACTTGTAGGTCTTATCGACGAAGGAATCCTGATAGCTTCTATTTTTAACAATGATGCATAAAATTAAATACGCTTAATATAAAAAGGTACAAATATAGCAAAAAGTAAAGTATGCATTATGTTTTTAAGGAGCAGATAAACACATGAGCAGACAACGTTCAAGTGAAATAAACTGAACAGAAATCCATGTACAAAACTTGCATGAACGTTTATGTGAAACTAAATGTACATAAAAACAACTTAAACCTGCTTGTGCACATCGTTGTTTGTCCTACAAAAATATACTAGGACAAGGTGCAGAAGACTGCCTATGGTACTGAAAATGGCAATTGTAAGTATACCTGTCTACAAATGACTTGAATCACATGCAATTTAAAGATTTCTACTGATTAACTACTGTATTGGGTTGTAAATGAAATGTATATAATGGAATGGAAACTAAAACCTTTACGTTTCCTGTACAAAAGGAGTTTCTTCTTGATTAATTCTTGATTAACACTATTGTTTGAAAAAGTCCATTTACTTTACGGAGATATGGGGGAGCATGAAACATTGCCAAATAAACCTGAGGAGTTGCTCGGTGTTACTTAGGTTTAAACCATGACTCGTAACGGATACATCAACAAAAACAAACAATACTAATTATTCAATGCAAGGTAAAAAAATCAGATAAAATTTGAAATGTTTCACGGTAACCATTGATCATAATTGTTTTCCTTAGCCCTTTGCTCAAATGTACATAATAGTTAACGTTTTGTCCATGAGAGGAAAACATATCACAAAGTAGTAACAATACGATTGCTGTATCTTGTTAAAAGTTGCATTGTAAACATTGTATCGCATTGGAAACTAAGGAGAAACACAACTAGTTATAACAAGAGCGCGCATTGCACAAAATAATGAACATTCGCAAAAAAAATGTCTAGCCATCATGTAGATGGAAACAACCAACACATTAGCGAGACTTACTGCAATATCGTATAATAAGTATCGGACATGACCCATTTTGAAGCATGGAATAACTGGCACGGTACAGTCCTTTAGCTAAAATCATTCTTTCGTTCATTCATACGCGTAAGTGCAACCGGGCGCGCGCATCGTGCCACTTTCCTAAACTTTAAGAAACGACTGTCTTCTTCTGAAATGTCTGGCCAAACATTCAGGATTCGTAAATTTTGTAACCAATAACAAAAATAACTAATGGCTAAAAACTGTTTATTTCTTTGTCTTTAAATGATTTGCGACGACCAGGAAACTTGACACGATGGCAGTGGCGCTCGCTCACGCTTACACTTACGCTCACAAGCATGCATTAACGCATTCACACAACTGTTTTAGGAGGGTTGAGTGTACTCATTGAGTCGCACGAGCGTATACATACCACATTTAGAAAATTGGATTTGTATTTGCTAGTACCGAATGGAATGAAATAGTAGGGACACTGTTACTAATGAGGAGATACCCAATAACAGTGAAAACAAAAGTTTCTTTCCTGAGACTTACGGAGGAATGGTACGGTGATTGGAAAGAGCTCGACCACAAGGGCCTTGAGAAAACGGGTATTCGGCTAATCGAGGGAACGCTGAGGTATTGCGAGTGGCATACTGTTGTAGACTGAAGGTCCGGAGAGATGCAACTACTGAATCCACGGAATGTTAAATTGCTGGCAGAGGGGTTTTGTACTGCGCTAAGTAATGTGGCAAATCATTTCTAATTGCACTTCAGGTGTCACAGTTGATCAAACAAAAAGGGTCGAGTGATCTCCTTGACGTTAACTATACTAGTATAAGATATTAAAGAAAATATACACTCAAAATTTGGCATCATCACAGATAGTCACATCCTTGGAGCGTCCCAAGATTACGAAAAACTTACTTTTAAATTAAGCATCTCTCAATTATTTTAATATTTTGAAAGTTATAATTTCACAGTCAAAGGAAGGTACTTCATAATTATA